GTTTCTTATCGATTGTAAGTTGCTCGATAAATTACTATATTGAACGAGAGTCAAGTCGAGAGCAGAGTCAAAAGCTGACCCAAATGTGTCTGCTGGCTGACTTGCCCGTGAGAACAAAGAGAGCGAACAGCCAAGCGGTTCAAGTGATGCTCAATTTGTGCCATGCGAGAGACGAAGATGTGGTATCCAGAGGAAAGAGAAAGCAGCGAGAAAGCATGCAAACCAGCAAGGCAGCAGATAAACGTCTATAAACGCGGTTGGATTCACTGAACAACCTGCCTTAACGCCGCTACCTTACCGCTTTGAGACGTGAAACTTAAACAGGATTGTTCTTGCAGTCTAAACGGCTGATAGTGGCCTCTGCCTTTAACAGCCATGATTGTGAAACATATCGTAAGAACTGGAACTCACGCGTTGTTCTGCACAGTCCTTTCCTGAATTAGATAAGTATTAACTTATCCAAGCAGAATGTCCAGACCCACAAAAGTGTCCTAACTTCACCTCCGAAATTGCAGATGTCTCATAAAAAGGCAAATGAAAAGGTTTCGAAAAGCTAATATGTGCAAAAAAGAAATATTCCAAGGAATGGTACGCGATGACCTATAAAAATGCAGGAGGTTATGTGGGAAGGTAGTGCGGTCCGGAGGGAGTGGACAACCCTGTGCCAGTTTCGCGGCGGAAAGTTGTACGGTAAAGGATTAAGGCGCAAAGTTGCTTCAGTGGTACATCCCTTTTTCCAGTGACTCCGCCTCCAGACTCCGCCTCCAAAGTCGGCCTTCCAGCCAAAAGTAATGCTCCCGGGCAAGTATCATGGAGTGGATGCATTCAGTGTCTCCTGTAGTCATAGGGTTCATTACTGGGAATCAGCCGACGGAAATCGTCCCAGCGCGCGGTCTTTTCGGTCTTTTACCTCTACAGTTGTTTGAGGCTAGAGGAGGCCTGACGAATGCGTTTCCAACGTTCCCTTTGGCATTTTCTCTTCATAGACGGTTCACTTGGCGAATTTTCTTCCACATTTCTGCAACATCACCTAGGCTTTTTATCGCGGACCGTGCCTTTAAGAAGCAGGAAAGTTCACCAAAGTGGGAAAATGTAGAGAATTTATCGAATGAGGTGTGCCGGTCGACCTCTACCTGCAGTGCGTTTAATGGTCAATGATGGCACTTCAATGTTGCATTTCTAGAACAAGCAGGATCGGGCAATTCCCAGTGTACTACGTGGAAGATGGGAGTTGACCACCCTCGAGAAACGCCCTCTCTACAAGTTATTAGACAGCCCCCGCTCTCCAGTAGTACATGGTCGTCCTTCCTTGTGCAGGTAGTTCAGCCCCCAAGCTAGATACTATCCCACTCTCGCGACTCCACAGTGAGCGAGGAGCGAGCTACAGCCGCTCAAAGTTCTAGTTCTAACGCCCGCTCAGTTGGACCGCCCCACTTGCTAGCTGCCCTCTGACGGAGAGCCGCTCAGTTGTTCTTTGTTGGGACGGCGGGCATTAATCGGAACTGCATGTACTTTTTGCTGACCGCGCTCGTGCCCATAAATAATTCTGCTCTCCTTCATCACATTTTATTATACAGTCAACTGCAACCCATCTCGTAAGGTAAAACGCGTAAAAATCACGAATGATGCAATTTCTGTGGTGCAAAAGCTCGACATGCACCAAAAGCTGCACACTGCACGTAACCCCAAATTAGGACGCCAGGTTTTTGAATTTTTCCTTTATTCCAATTATTCTTGACACTTTTATCTCGGGAGCTGTCTTTAAGAGAGCTCTTTAACGGATAAATTTTTATGCTATAAACCTTCTGCACTATAGCAGTAATCGAGTATCCTTATCCTAATTATAATTATGAAAGGCAAGGATTTCAGTGAATGATCGAGATTATGCACACTTACTGAGATAGAAAACGTCACAGCCCACGAAGATTACCGTATTTTGCTTGTGGTGGCAAATTTTCTTCCTTTGTGTCATAAGCCTCTTCAGTTTTCGTTTGTTCTCCCAGGTCTGTTCTGTCGAACCGAGACCTTTTCGATGACCGTTCACGCTTCTTGAAAGAGAAAAGCAGTAGTTTGGAAACTGTTAACTATTAACTGATAGCAGTAACTGTTTGTTCAATATTAAGAAATCAGGAAGGTCCCGTAAGTTTAGCGATTTTTACCCAGGTCAGCGGTCCCCTTCCCTCAGTCGAAAGGGATTAGCCTTCATGTAGGGATTATCAGAACGATACGGGGCCTAGACGGCATATAAAATTCGATTGGTCTGCGGACAAATCCAGAGCTCCTATAAGGTAGCGTTCAGACTTCGCGACGGCAGCGCCTCGGTCGCGCGTTCGGCGCGATCGATGCGCATGCTTTCGACTGCATCGATCGCGTCGAACGCGCGACCGAAGCGCTGCCGTCGCGAAGTCTGAACGCTGCCTAAGCGATCAACAGGAATGACGTTTTCGAGGACGTTATGAGAGTGCGATGAAAAGTGGAATCTTCATGGCAACCGGCGACAATCAGTGGTTGCTGCCATCGTTCCGATACGAGTTTGCACCAAAAGAGTTGTTGCTCAAAGCAGTTCCTGGATCCTGTGGCTCGAGAGACAGCCAGTTATAGTGCCTATCTGAGGAACGTGCGAGGCGCAGCTAGATGACGCAGGAGAGGTTCAGGCGGAAGAGAGGCGGAGACCTATGCATAAGAGAGCCGAGTTGGCGTGGGAGTACGCAGTCGTCGCCGCTACGCCTCTTTTTGCCGCACGAGGTGGTCTGATCTACGGACTAACAATGAGGCTCTAGTTAGGAAGGCTCGTCGACTCTTAAAAAAACTAAAAGGGAGCGAATGAAGTAAAAAAAAAGCTGGGCGCTAAAACTCACCCGTCTTGATGCTGATTTCTGTACCGCACCTTCATATGCACCCTCACAACCTTGCGCTTTGGTCACGGTCATATAAGTAGATCGACTTATGCTTTTGATAACATTTGAGCCAGGAATTTTCTTCTTAAAAAGAATTTCACTCGGCATGTTACAATTACCGGAAGCTGTGCTTGTTCCGTAAATAAATACTTCTGTCTGCATCTTTGATCAATGTGTGGGTCAACTAACTACATTTTTACCCGATGCTTGTCTGCGAATGTACGATTGACATTGCAATTAGGACTGGTTCTTCTTCTGCTGTGCTGTTAGATTTCCGCGATCAAGTATTACGGGTAGTGTGTGGTCATTCATAAACCAGTACCCCATAAGTGACTCCCCAGTAGAGAAAGGAAAAAACCTTGGGAACACTCTGAGCAGGGAATCCCTTAGCAGCGGGGCCAGCGCCGGCTCCTTGAACGAATTTGTCGGACGTCGGCAATCCCCTTCAGCAAGATTCGACGTACAAACCATTTGCGGCAAGGGCACAGGAATCATCCTACGATGCTCCAGGCAACGCTATGTACACACGCAATTCCGCTTGTAAGCCGTTGTCTTGCAGAGTGAAAGTAATCGTGGTTGCAATGGTTGCAATAATCACGCGTCTCTAGCTTCCTTATCTCGCCGTTTCAAGTGATGAAAGTGGTATATTTTTTATGAACTTACGAAGCCGCACCTCCACCTCCACTGCCCTTAGGAAAAACATGCCAAAGTAGTTGAGATCGCCGCAGTCGGACGGGAAAGTGTCAGAAGGCATGGGGTGAGTCCATCCGCGGCATTTTCGCGACGATGTAAGCGGCGTGATATCGCACGTTATCAAGTTTGGCATACTTTAGGTAGCTTCCAGATTATGCGATGACGCGCTTCGACGCGCTACAATTGCAACGGCGCCCCAATCG